CTATCCTACTACTGGGTATTTATCCAAAGAACATGAAATCAACGATACAAAGAGATCTATGTACCCTAGGTTAACTGCAGCATTATTCACAAGATATGGAAGCAACCCAAGTGTTTATCAACTGATGAATGGATAAAGAAGATGTGGTGTATATATATACAATTGAACTACTCAGCCATAAAAAAACACAAAATCGTCCCAATTGCAACAACATAGATGGACCCTGAAGGTATTATATTAAGCCAAGTAAGCCAAACAGAGAAAGACAAACACCGCATGATTTCACTCATATGTGGAAGATAAACACATGGATAAGGAGAACAGATTAGTGGTTATCAGAGGAGAAGGGGGTGAGGGGATGGGCGAAAGGGGTAAAGGGGCACATACGTACGGTGACGAATAAAACTAGCCTATTGGTGGTGAGCACGAGGCAATCTATCCAGAAACTGATAAATAATTTACACCTGAAATTACACAATGTTATAAACCAATATGACTTCAATAAAATAAAAAAATATACAGATCATTAGATCCATAGACATTAAATGATAAAGGGATGCTATGAACAACTCTACCAACACAAATTTAGCAGCTTAGATAAAATGGACCAATTCCTTGAGTGACACAAACTACCAAAGCTCACTCTAAAAGAAACAGATAAACTGAATAAAATAAAATCTATTAAAGAAATTGGATTTGTAGTTTAAAAAAGCCTTCCAACAAGGAAAATTCCAGGCTCAGTTGGATTCACTAGCAAATTCTTAAAAATATTTAAGGATAAAATAATATCTATCTTACATAAATTCTTCCAGCAAATAGAAGAGGGAATATATTTCAACATTTTATGAGGCCAGCATTATCCTGACATCAAAATCAAACAAGGACATATCCAAACCATGGATAATGTTACAGACATAAATATCCTTGAGAAAATATTAGCAAATAGAATCCAACAACATAAAAAGGAGGAGACTGTCTCCAAAGGCGTATGAAGAAACTTTGGGAGTGATGGAAATGTTTTATATTTCAACTGTGGTGTTGGTGTCATAACCGTAAACACTGGTTAAAACTCACCAACTTTTGTGCTTATAATTGGTGAATTTCATTGTACGTAAATTATACCTCAATAAAGACAATTACAAACAAACAACAACAAAAATCTGACCATATGTTAGGTTACAAAGGAAGCTTCTGAAACGTTGAAAAATTGGTATCATAAAAATCATGTTCTTTTGTATATGCATTTCGATTAGAAACGAATAACTGAAATAATTAAAAGAACTGTGTAGTTTGGAAACTAAAAAAACAGACTCAGCTATCTTGTATTCTCTCCTTTCCATTTACTATACCATCTAACCAAATTCCATCTGTGGTTACAATGAACTCTGCCTACTCTGTGCCTATGTAGCTGAACTTAACTGAGGAGAAAAAAAAAAATCCAACCAAGCTGACTAGTCTCATTTTAAATTCATAACCACTAACCTTGAAATGGGCCCTAAGCAATATTGAGCAATTCTACTCCATTTCCCTCGTCTTTTCCATTTCTTATTCCTTCTCCTAGACAGCCCTTTCCTCTCTCCTTAAATCTCTAACGTCTTCTCTTCCTTTCTCATTCTCAAGTGCTGATCTTGCTTCTTACTTGAGAGAGAAAATAGAAGCCATCAGAAGACAACTGCCACAGGCTCCAAATACCACATCTGAAAACATACCTGAATCATGAACCAAATATTCTCTGCCTTTCTTCCTATTATTATGGATTAAACTGTCATGCTCCTAGCTAACAGTAACACTCCAGGGGATCACATCTCCTCTCATCGACTTAAGGACATGGTTCCAGCAACTGTTTCTCTCTCTCCTGAATCAGCTATTTTTTTCCTCTTTCCTCAATCATTTCTATTAGCACAGAAATATGATGTGATATCTCTCATCTTAAACAAAAAGCAACAACAAAAATTCACTACTTGACTCTGTATGTCACCCTTTAGCTACCACTGTATTTCTTTGCTCCTCTTTCAAGTAAAACCTCAAAATAGTTTATTTCTTCATTCTTCTCCTTCAGTCTCTCTCAAATCCAATCTAATCATAGTCTGTCTTCACCATCCCATCAAATGTGTTCTTGTTAAAGTCATCAATGATTTCACATTGTAAAATCCTATGATTAATTTGCAGTTCTAATCTTTCTTGACTTATCAGAAACACCTGACACAGTTTAATAAATTCTCTTCTTGATACACTTTTATTACTTGGCTTCTGTGATGCAATCTCTTGTTCTTCCCACATTTACTTTACTGCTCTTTGTCCATCTCTTGTTCTTCCTCATTTCTTTGACCTCTAAACACTGGCATTCTCCAGGCTCAGTCCCCAGACCTCGGCTCTATCTGCTCACTCTATCAGTTTTTTTCAATTTTTTTTCATTGCAACCATGGTAAACACACACACATAACAATAAAAAACATTTTATATTGTGACCCACAGCATACATAGGTACCTGTGTGTGTTCATATAATTAAACGTTTCCATTAATATTAAAATCCTGGTCCCAAATCCATAAATTGATTTGTCTTAAAAATGAGTTACAATCTACAGTTTGAAAAACATTGCCCTATATAGTAACTACCATATCTTCATGTGTAGTTTTATCCTATTTCCTGAACTCTAGATTTATATATCCAACCACTTCCTCAATATTTATATTTAGACATTTAATAAGGGCTTTGCATTTAATGGGTCAAAAGCTGAATTCTTAAGTCTCCCACTCGTCTCCAAAAACTACTCCTTTGCACTCTTTTCCAACCTATATCCAACTCTTAAGTAAACAGCAACTCCATTCTTCCAGCTGCTGAGGTCAAAAAACCTAGAGCAATATTTTCCCCTGAAGGGCAAGCCCTTGGGCCCCTTTTCTCTGTAGTTCTTCCTCCTGTATCCAGTTACTTCTGCTGAGGAGATAAATATGTGCCAGGATTTCACAATATTTCACCAAACAGGATCCATGAATATGGGGGTGGCAGGACTGAATCAAACCGTCCTCAAACTCAGCAGAGCTGGTAGTTGTGCAAGTGGACTTCACAATCTTGCCAATTCTCCTTGACCATCTCTTAGAGACATCTGTTGGAGTACGCAATTCTTGACTTTTCTCTTTCTCTTGCATCCCACTTTCTTAAAAGGTGCTCAACCTGTTATGTTCATGATTTACTCTCTCACTTCCTTCAGGGTTCTCCTCTAGTATCACTTTAAAGGGGGGCCTTCTGTGATATCCCTACATAAAATAATACCATCTCACTCCTCATGGAACTTCCCAGTCCTATTACCCAGTTTTGTTTTTCCTTCAAAGTACTTATCACTATCTGTATATTGTCTATCTGCAACAACTAGAATGTAAGGTCTATGGGAAGAAAGATGTCGTCTCTTTCTTTCTCTGCTATACTCCAGCATTCGGAACAATGCCTGGCAGTGAAATGTAAATGAATGTCTATTTTCAGTAGAACGCACCCAAATCACAGGCTGAATCTAATGTGATCTATATTGGGAATCACTACCCCTACTTGGCTTCTTCTATATACCCTGTGCTTTTAAAACAATGGTTCTCAATCTTTTTCCAACACCATAGCCGAGGAGTATAGGAAAGACCATAATCCCATCAGTACTGGTTACCAATGTCAATAATCTACATTATTCTACGATCAAACTAGGCCATCAAACGTCTCTTGGACCACAGTACCTTGGCTGCCTTTGGAACAGTTTTCACTGACCTGCTCTTTGGCGCTCTGCTATCTGCTTGGATGAAGGATGCTTTACAAAACATTTATATCATTACCATTATCACAGTAATAAGATTACTTTAAAAATATCATTTATGGGTTTTTACCATCTGCTAGGTGCTTTATATGTATTAATTCATTGACTCCTTATAAGAATTACTATTATTCCTATTATACTCCTCTTTTAACATTGAGGGAGCTGAGACTCAGAAGTTAAATTGCTTTCCTAAGATCATAAAGCTAGTAAACCAGAAGAATAAGAATTTAGAGCATGGTATATCCTATACCAAACCTCATGCTCTTAATCGCTATACTATGATGCCCTGCTATAACATTCTACTTGAGAAATTTATGTAAGAACTAAGTCCAAGAGAAATCCTGTATTTCTCTAAAGAACTAGACAATGAGAGCTATAAAAAAGTGATGGTGCCTCACTTTTTACTTTAATCTCCAGGAACTAAACATTCAATTAAGATATAGAAGTGAATAAGTCCTTATGGCCCATATATTTCCTTGGGTCTTGACCTCTTCATCTAATTTACATTTAACCTAATTCCTTATACATTTCCTGTATATCCTATCAATGTACCCCCTTCAAAATGCATATACTCCATTGGGATTGTTATATTAGAACAGCTAAAACATTATAAAATAAGCAGACAAACTCAGAATTCAGCTGTTCCAATATAAGAACCCAATCAGGTACATGCATTTTAAAAGAGAATACAAAGACAAAAGAAATGGAAACATAATGGTAGACTAGGTGATATGTTTGGTATTCACGAGTTTAAAAGAATGGCTCTGGGCATAGCAGCTATGAGTATCTATAGTCATTAAGATTGCAGTAACTTCTCTGGGAGGAGGTAAGCAAAGGTAATACATAAAAGACCAACCACGTTCTTCCCCATTTCCTACCATATGTCCCACCTTTAAGAAAGGCCAAACTCCTTCACAAGGTACTACTCACAAGGTACAAATTGATAAAGACTTATTCTGGCATCCTGAGAAGTTTCTAATTACTATTCTACATCAACAGAAGAATGCTTTTCTCAAAGAAAAATTCACAGAACATTCTACTTAAAGGCAATTGTGGTTGATACCAGTATTGACAACTTAAAGATGAACTATGTGTGAAATTTATAACAAAAAATTAGGTGTGTTACCATCAATAAAATCTATGTTTTCTGAAGGCTCAAAGAGAATATAAACGACAATAATCTTCTGGACGAACTATAAACTTACCTTAGCTACTTCTTCTTCTAATCGTTCTTGGTATTGTTTTTCCAGCAACGTAACCATATTTGTTTCCTGCTTCACTCCAGATTCACCAGAAAACTAAATTAAAAAGCAAAATATGACACTTATTTATACTAGTTATATACTATTTATTTTTAAACTACTACTTTTCAAATCTCCTCAAAAGATCACTATTTCTTAGAAAACTTCTGAGAAGTTTTAGTAAATAAATTTCAGTTCTGCTCTGAATTAAAAACAGTAATTCTGGTGAATAATTCTAGTGTATAATTCTACTAAATAACTGTACTTACTACTGTGAACTTAACAAAGATGCAAAGTGAGAAATATATTTACATATTTACAATTAATAAGATATAGTTCTAGGGTGGGATAAAGATACTTCTTAAATATAATTAATAAGATGTGTATTTAATTTTAAGTAATGTTAACAGTGGCTATCTTTGCTTATGAAATTATAAGCAAATTTTCTTTTCTTAATAGTATCTAATTTTCTACAAATTACTTTTATAAATAGAAAAAAAAACCCACAAATTTTTTAAAAAATGTAAACATGTTCTCAGTATGGAAGTATTTCTTTCTTTACCAATTATTTGAACGTCATCCAAACAGTACTCCATATAGGAATGTGAAAGAATCAAGAATGTGGCCAACATCTCTCCTCTGTATCCAGAATGAGAGAGGGCAATGACCATTATTTTGTGCAAGCCTTAAGAACTAAAAATCCACCGAGTAAAGACCAGGGTTTGCAGTTATAAGTTTGAGAAAAGTGGCCACAAATTGGGAATGTATACAATGTTGAGGAGAGGCAGAAGGTGGCTTAGCTAGATGGCATATACTGTAAAAGATGAAGGGCTTTTATATATCATACGGCCTGTGCTGAAAGAAGCCTCATCCACTGTCCCTGCCCTAGCATCTTGAATTTTGGGGATTCCTAAACACTATTCTAGAGATGGTCTGGTCCAATTCCCCATGGCGGGAAGAAAAGCTGTTGGCCAGGGCACTGAAAGTAATTTATTACACAGTCCATGTTACACAAAACAGGACAAATTTCAAACTAGAATATATTTAGGGGGGGAAAAAACCTCAATTTTAACTTTCTCTGTGTTTTTCCTATGCTACAAAAATACACTACATTTCTCTACTTACATATTCTTCTGGGTCTCTTATATAAGGTATTATCCTCCTCTTTATTATGCTTACTTCTCAGTAACTATTTATTGGATAATTACTAAACCACAGACGTAAAAATGATAGTAAGAAAAAAATCAGTATATGTAACAGTTTAAAGATATAATACCTCTATTGTACCATCAATGTTCTCTTTTAGACAGCTTCCAGGGTATATTGTTTTCTGTACATCAGATTCAGTAATTACCACTGAATCAATAGAGAAGCTAAATACAAATAAAAGAGAGTGAAAGAATTAGAGTTGTGTGTGAGTTTTACTGTTAGTCCACATTTATAGCATGCGTAAAATGTTTATTAGGGCAGGGGAAACAAAAATGACAGGTCAAGAGTTACAGGTATTGTAACAAATCATATTTTTGACTAATTTTTGACTAATCTTGACTAATCAGAATTTTGACACTAAAAAGTAACACAATTGAATAATAAAGTATTTTAACAGATCACCATTGAATTTCATGCCATTTTATAGTCTACTACAAACATACGACATGGAGCTATTTATAGGTACAGACATTTTTTAAAAAATAATCTATGATATTATGAGTAAAAAAGTTTGTAAAATCACATTTTCATTAAAAAATTATTTTCACACACACACACACACACACACACACACAGAAAAAAGTCTGGAAGAATACACATCAAAAGTAACAATGATTACCTGTAGTGGAAAAGGGGAGCAGTGACAGTGAAGGGAAGATTCTTAATTTATATATAGTCACTTCTGGATTTTTTTATCTATTCATTTACCTTTTGGTATTCATGACTTTTTTCTGTATTGTTTTACAAGCATTCATTATTTTGTAAAAAAAGTTGCTTCAAATGCTTAACTTGGGTCATAAAAATAAGGTAAGATTAACATTTAGGAACCAGGGGAAAAAGATTAAAGGGGCAAATTATAACTTTCTTTTTAACTGATACAATTTCTCACTCCCATTTTCATGTGCACCCATGTTGCCTTCTTAATTCTACCTTCCTCTTGCCCACTTCCTCATTTCTTTCTCCTATTCTCTTCTTTCATTCTGCCCCAAATTGGCCAGACACAAGTTGTCATTGTCGCATTTCATAAATTACATAATTAACCCCCTAGTAATAGACAATTTAGACATTACATTACGTATAATGCTACAGTATGGATCCTCATAAATATATCTTTGCACACATCTGTGGATGTTTTTATATGATAAAATCTTATAAATAATTGTTAGGCTTAAGGTTTAAAATTTTAATATAATGCCATATTCCAAAAAGTTACATTAATTTTACTCCCATAACAGTATCATTTAAGAGTTTTCTCAAAACTTCAGCAACATGGAGTTGTAACAGTCTTAAAACTTTGTTAGAACATATATGTCTTTACTTTTGAGATTACATATTCTTTCAAATATTGGCCATGTAAGTTTCTTCTGCTGTGAAATGCCTATTCATATGTTCTAAGTTCACGTTAAACAATTGTAAAAACTCGTTTTCCTTGTCCTCCTTCTCTGCCCTTTCCTGGTTCTTCTATCTTTCTCACCTTTTTGTCTGTTTCCTCATTGCTTCTTGCATATACTATTCTGATCTTTGGCTTCATGTCTTGATTCCTATTTTCACAGCCTAGAAAACCCTCCTAATTATTTATCCAGCTATTAAGAACCAAACTCCAAATATTGCTATTTAATCCACAATGACTTCATTCTGTAGCTTTATAGCATTTGAAAGTGTTTATCCCAAATTCACAAAAACAGTCTGCCTAAAACTGAGTTCACTGCTCCCCTCTTACATTAAGGTCCTACTCCCCACCTGCCTGATTTCTCTATTTATATGAATGCACCATTATTCTCCAGCTCAAACAACAAGGAGTCACCTTTGATTTTGCCCTCTGCTTTGCTCCCAACATTCCTTCCATCCCAATATCTCATATTTATTCCTTCATTTCCATTTCCCCTGGAGCCACTCCAAGAGGCAATATTACAGAAATGTGCAGTGAAAAATGCTACAAAAACATGGATTTAAATTCCAGCATTTTGACTGTATCACCATGCCATATTTTCCAACCACTACTTTTTAAAAATTATTATTTTGTGAATAAGTATTATTTCAATGATTAGACTGAAGTCCCTTGAGGGAAAAGGCCACTTTGTATATAATCATGCACCTCATAACATTTCAGTCAAGGATGGACCGTATATACAACGGTGGTCCCATAAGCCTAATACCTGTAGCTTAGGTGTCTAGTAGGCTGAGCCATCTAGGTTTGTGTAAGTACACTCTATGATGTGTGCACAACGAGGAAACAACGCATTTCTCAGAACATATCCCTGTCGTTAAGTGACATGTGACTGTGTATCTAAAGCTTCCTCCGCAGCATCTAGCCACGGCTCTTCCCAGTCACTATTTCATTTAATCCTCACGATCTTAAGGGTAGTTTTTACTGCCCCTAATATTACTTAGACATGTTTAAATAATCTGCCCAAGATCATATAGCCAGTAAAAGGTCAAGTCAGGAGTCAAATTCAGGTTTGTCTGACTCTAAAGTCTATGGTTGTTCCAATCCCATACTATACGCCAAGAGGCTTCTAGTATGATATCACCAAATATTTGTTAAATGAATGACTCAATTATTGTTTTAAACTATTTCAAGTCTATCTTAGGAGAGCAGTATGCTCTTTATTTGAAAAGTGCTACAGTTGTGTCCAAATATGTGATGACATTCACAAGAAATAACTTTGACCCATTACTGTTAGTAGGAGTGAACATGGCGGCCAGTAAATCTCTTTTTTTTGGGGGGGGGGGACACTAACGGTTTTAATTGAGGTACTGTCAACACATTTCCACTGAGTATTATAGAAACTCTGCGAGGGTGCTGAGTTGGCAAAAGTCCAAATGCAGTAACAGCAAAGTCAGTCTACATTTCCAGAAAACTCCCTCTTCTTCATGCTTTGGAGAGAAAGCATCACTAATTAAAGGAGCTTGAAATACTATAGCTGGTTATTAGAGACTTTTGCTACCTACCTATTTTCTTTCATATGAGAAAACCTAAAGTAGTGGTTTCCAAATATCAATCCATGGAGTGCCTGCATCAGAATTATCTTATTACAAATACAAATGTCCAGGGTCCATCTCAAAGCTATTAAGTCTGACTCTCCAAATATATAATCTAGTAATCTGTAATTTTAAGTATTCAAAAAATAATGTTAAATTTCAAAAGCCTCCAGTGTTTCTGATGCATGGTCAATTTTGGGAATCAGTTATCTCAAATAAAACGGAAGATTTATAAGGTTGTGTCAAGGCTGGGTGAACAATTCTACAGCTTTCATACAGACCCTGAATAAAAGAAGGAGAAACAGACCACTTCCAAAGAATTGTGGACATTCAGTATTTTGTCTCCCAAAAAAAAATTGTCTTGAGGTTCCATTAACAAGTGCCTATGGAGACATCAATCCTAGAACAGCAGAGCCAGCCAAAATTAGATTAAATCTCTGAGGGTTTTATAGAGCTAGCTAAATACTATAGCACACTTCCCAACTAAATTATAAACTGTTCATTAATTTAACAAATATTTATTGAGCACCTACTATGCATAGAGAATTATTACAGGGTTTGGGATATATCAGTGACTTAAATAGACAAAAAACCCCACTCTTACAAAGCTTGAAGTCCTTCATAGGAGACAGACAATAAACAAAACAAACAAAAACAAATAAGCTCCCCTCCAAATATATACAGACTTGTTTTTTATTTTATATATATGTTTATATATATACAAAATAGATAATATTAAATAATATAGAAAAAATGAAGCAGGAAATTAATACACAGAGTTCTAAGGGATGATTTTAATTTAAATAGGGTGATTAAGATAGGCCTCATGAGAACATGACATTTAGTAAAGACCCAAAGGAGATGAGTGTGTTGGGCATGCAAACATCTTGAGAAAGATCATTCTAAGACAGAAGAAATGGCAGTGAGAAATCCCTAAAGCAGGAGCATGCCGACGGTTTGAGGATCTCAAGGAGATCGTGTGGCTTGAGAACAGTAAGTGACAGGCAAGTCAGTAGCAGATAAAGTCAGAGACTAGGGACCCATCATGTAGGACCTAATAAGGCAATGTAAGAACAAAAGAGCATTGGAATAACATGATCTGTCTTAAATTTTAAAAGCAAAGTTTTGGAATTGTGCTGAGAACAGACTTTAGGGAAGAGTTAGGGTAGAAGCAGGGAGATAAGTTGTTGCAGTAATCCATCATGAGATGTGATGATGGCAGGGACCACACGGCTGGTGAGAAGTGGTCCAGTTTGCATGTATTTTGGAGGCAGAGAGACCAGGATTTCTTGACAGAATGGAAGTGAGATATGAGAGAAAGGGGAATCAGCATAGATGGAGATGGCTGCAGAAGGAGCAAATTTTGAGGGGGAAGATCCGCAGTTCTATTTTAGACATGGTGAATCTAAGCATTAGAGAGCCAACTGGAGGAAGTCCAGCCATAACTGGAATGAACATACCTTATATTCCTTGTGTAATCCCTACATCAAAGTAGCAAAGATTAGGCATACAATAAACAACAAACACACGCACATTGCCTGATTTAATCCAGCAGATTAATAATAACCAGCATCTTTATGAGAGTGTAAGTAAAATTCCTATAATAAATGTCTTTGGTTTACACCAACTTTCATTTCACACATTTCAAAGATAAAGAATTACCTCCTGCTCTTATTTCTTGATAATGCTACATCCCACATCTTTCAAGCAACTTTGCTTAAGTTACATTTTTTTCTTAAAACAACCATACTATGATTGTTACTAAGCTACAAATACAGTAGTCCCGTCTTATCTGCAGTTTCAACTTCTGTGGTTTCAGTTACCCACAGTCAACTGTGGTCTGAAAATATTAAATGGAAAATTCCAGAAATAAATAATTCATAAGTTTTAAACTGCATGCTATTCTGAATAGCATGATGAAATCTCGCACTGTCCCACTCCATCCTGCCTGGGACACTATGTAACAATGCTTACGTCATTCAGTTCACTTCATCGCATCACGTAGGCATTTATATCATCTCACATCATCACAAGAAGAAGGGTGAGTACAGTACAATAAGATATTTTGAGAGAGACCACATTCACATAACTTTTATTATAGTATATTGTTATCATTGCTTTATTTTATTAGCAGTTTTTGTTGTTAATCTCTTACTGTGCCTAATTTATAAAGTAAACTTTATCATAGATACGTATGTATAGGAAAAAACATAGTATATATAGGGTCTGGTCTATCTGCAGTTTCAGTCATTCACTGGGGGTTGTGGAATGCATCCCTCACGGATAACAGGAGACTATTGTACTAATGAATGAAATTCTAAGTAGATAGATACCTTGGCTGAACTGTGGACTCACTAACAGCTTGAAGCCTTTCCTGCAAACAATGGATCTCTGCCCCATAGTTTTCTTCAGTTTCTTTCAATTGTTGCTGCAAAGAGGATATGAGGTTTTCTAATTCTTGAACTTGTCCTTCAAGTTGTTTAATTTTTTCGATATCTTGCAGAGTAGATAACTTGCTTTTATGACTGACATCTAATTTATATGAATAGAAGAAAATATACATTTCAATACAAATTTCTTAGTGAAATAACAACCACTTTTTTGTGTGTGCAGAAAATATTCATTCTCCTTTGAAACAATGTTTTTTAGTACTAACAAGTCAAGTTTCAATTTAAACTCATTTGACTGATGAAAACATGAATACAGTAATTCGAGATCATTTCTTCTATCTTCACGGCTATAGTACCCCTAAATTTACCAATTTTATGTTTTTAAATTGAAAATAATTTAGAATCATAGAACCTAAGAAGAGGAAGGGAATCAACGAGATGAGCAGTCCAAACCTTTCATTTAAGGATGAGAAAACTGAGACCAGAGAGGTTACAGTGAAATGCCCAAAGTGACCAGGTTGTTCCAAATTTTAAAGTAAAAAATCAAATTACTGAATATTTGGTAAAAAAACACCACATTGTGGTATATAATCAAAATTTACCAATGTCTTGCAAACTGGTCATCTGAGAACGGGTTGATAAAAATTCTGTTTCCTCATTTGGTAGGTTTTCTTCTGCAAATTCAAGTTTCATACCATCTGTCTGCTGTTCCTGAATCTATTGAAAATAACAGAAGAAAAGCAATGACATAAACATATAACCCCATATTTTGAAAACTATATTAAAGCAACTTTACATTTAAAATGTTTTTTTCAAAATCACCTAAAATTGTGACACTCTGACACAAATATTTTCCCTTCCAAGTTATTCCATGCTTTCTTTTGACACAGTAATTCACATCCCATTCCTTTTATAGCACTGAAATTATATTAGTAAGCATAATGTTCTTTCATATCCAGAAGGAAGTTCATTTTACTACAAAAACAGAAGCTACACAGAATTTTGGTATAAAGCTCACAACGATATTTATAATATGACTTGGTCTTTAAAATTTCAACTCATAAACAGTAAATTTTATATTATCAACATTTGATAATATAACTGTTATTAATCTCTGGATATAACTTATGTACAACCAGGTAACTGACATATAATATGCTGCTTTTCACACAAAAAGAAGGAAAATAATGAAAACAGATAAATTTCAGCTTATTTCCTTAACTATTAAAACTAGGCAGCAATATGCCAGATGCATGTGTGTACTAATTTAATCACTCATCAAATATTTAATCATCATCTACTGTGTGGTCAGCATTGTGACAAGGGAGAGTAAGAATATAAAAATCAGTAAAAATACGGTATAATTGCCCTCACAGAATTTATCAACTAGTGAGGAAATAAAATTAAACAATTAGAGAACAGTCAACCTATAAAGTTTGACTATAAGGGCACTTATATGATATGGGTCTGAGTAATTATGAAGGAAGTCAAATTTGATTTAGGCCTCACTCATTTTGGGCAATGATTAGGAAAGGCTATACGGAAGAAACAGTAAAAGCATTTGTGAAAGAATGACCTATGCTATAAGTAGTGAAGATAATGATCTTGTTGAGAGGGGTTTAATTAGGATAAGGATGGTGGAAATAACACTAGATAAATAAGATAGATGTAGATTAAAAGCAAGAGGAAAGACTTTGGACTTGCTAGACTAGATGAACAAAGGATACTGCAGAAGCAGGTAAGCAACAGGATAAAAGCTATTTCCCATGAAGGCCAGTTCAGTTGGTTACTCCTCTCATCAAGTCCTCTACCTCACTCCTACGCCAAGTACATTTCAGCAGAGGACCTTGCCTCCTACTTCCCAAAGAAAATAAAGCCCATCAGGTAAATTCTTCAGTTTCCAGCTCAACCGTTCTATATCTTCACTTCATTCACTTGATAAACATTTATTAAGCCTTTACCATGTGCTAAACAAAGCACTGTGCTAAGAAGAGCAAACAAAAATAGACACTCTGAACCCAAAGGGTTTAGAATCATGTGGAAGAGGCAGAAGAGTAAACAAATAATTATAATAACATGAAAAATAATGTGATACAAATCCAAGTTTGTACAAGGAACTACAGGAAGGGGAAAGAAAAACAGGAGGGTAAGCAAATATTTAAAATAACAGAAAATGATAAATGCAACAAGAAAAGGCTTGCACAGATGCTAAGAGAACAGGAAGAAATGTCTAAGTATTCCTTACGAAGATAAGTAAAGAAGATGACACAAAAGAAGTAACATTTGAACCAACTGAAAGAACAAGTAGGAACACATCAAGCAGACTGGAAGGAGATGGGCAGTGTTAGACAGAAAGAACAGCAAGCAAAAAAATCCAGAGGTGTGAAAGATCAGGGTGCACTTAGGAAACTAAATGTTTTAGTACGGCTAAAATGAGGAGGATTAGCAGATGAGGCTAACAGGTTAGGCAGTGATGCTTGACTCTGATCCCAACCAATGTCTCGGAGGTCTCTGTGGTTGTAGCTAACTTACTGGGCTAAAATGTGAAATTTACTTTTTTACCCGTTGTGCAGAGAAGAGTTAAGACAGCAGTTGTGAGACTGCCTATCTCTTTAGAAAGGCTGACTTCGAAGTTTGGCCCTTGGCTGGCATCTGGGAATTTAGCTGGTAAACAGTTCCCAACACTAGTATAAAACTTTCCCTAAATGGTAAGAGTATCTCATGCCTAGACTGTGCAAACAATATGGTTTATACTGAACATACGCTTTCCTTCTGGAAGTCTGGATTTTGGTATATGCTAGACAGAGGATGCCTACATGACTAATACCTGATAAAAACACTACGAATTCCTAGGCTTAGGTGAGCTTCCTTGCAGACACTTAGCACATACTGTTACAACTTACTGCTATAGGCATTAAGTGTGTCCTGTGACTCCACTAGGAGAGGATTTTAGAAGTTTGTGCCTGTTTTCCTCCAGACTTCAGCCCATGCATCTTTTCAAGGCTGATTTTGCTTGGTATCCTTTCGCTGTAATAAATATTAGCCTTCAGTACAATTATATGTTGAATTCTACAAGTCCTTCTAGTGGATCACCAAACCTGGGGGTGGTCTTGAGGACTCTCAACATACCCATATGGTGTGTACCACTATACAGACACCTAAGGTTCAAGTTTCATTGATACAAGGAATGAAAAAAAAAATAAGCTATCTTGGCCTTGTTTCTCTCCTTTTTCCTCCACATCAACTGCCTATCAAATTCTTTAGGTTCTTTCTTAAAATATCTTACGAATTGTCCCTTCCTGTTTCCTACCTCCCTTTGCCACCTCCCTAATTAATTTCCCTAAAAGTTCAACTTCATGATATCTAGCCCATGATCACAAATTTCCAACAGCTTTTTAATGTCTACAAGATAAAAGTCTAGCCTAACATTTAAAGTTTGGTACAGTCTATCCTTCGTAATCTTAGAGTCTATTATTCTCTCAGCAATATGTCCCAAATATATCACACTTACACCATCAAGACTTTGATCATACCACCTCTCCCACCCAGAATGCTATTCTCCCTCCTCTTCCTCATCTAAACCTACACATCTTTCACGGTCCAATTTGAATCCCATTTCCTCCAAGAAATCTTCATTATTTGTGCCTATGCTTATCTACCTGTTTGCTTAATTCCAAAAGTACTTCCCTTTTAAACACTTAATTAAATGTTGCCTCGGGTAACTATTTTATATATGTACATCATACTCTCATACTCTTTGAACTAGTTTATAAAGTTTATCACTTTATAAATTCCTTCAGTCTAGTGACTTTACTTACCTTGTATACTGCTTTACTCC